AGGACCTTGTGCTTGCCAGGCAAGTGCTTATGCTGCTAAACTATATCCCCAGCCTCTTACATCATTAAATGTGATACACACCTATAAATCCTAGCATTCAGGAGGCTGAGGCAGAGAATTAGTTGAGTTCAAGGTCAGCCTGGATTACACAGCAAGACCCTGTCTCAAAAGTCCAAAATAAATAAATAGCACATTGGTTTTTGTTTGTTTTTTGTGGTACCAGGGATTAAACTCAGCACCCTGTGCTTGCCAGGCAAGCGCTTATTTTACTGAGCTATCTCCCTGGGCCCTAGCACATTGCTTTTGCACCTTATAAAGTTTTCTTTTGCAAGCAACCCATCTTCCTATCTTAATATAAGCAATGGCAAAGCCAGGCATGGTGACCCTGAATGTCTATAATCCCAGCACTCGGGAGGGTGAGGCAGGAGGATTGTTGTGAGTTTGAGACCAGCCTCGGCTACAAAATGAGCTGAAGGCCAGCCAGAACTACACAGTAAAACCCTGTATCAATAAAACAAAAACAAAAACAAACAAAATGCATAGCCTTGTGAAGATTGTTTTTTAAAATGCATTTTATTTAGTACATTATTTAAGTATCATAGGATATAGGGTTTTTTCTACACCAACTGTTTTATGGTAATAAAAATATTACAAAATACATAAAGTAAATCTGAATTACACAAATAAATTCCTATTCCATGTCATTTTGTGAATGAGATTTCTCTTTAGATTTTTCTTTTTCATTCTTTTTCTTTTGCTTTTCTTCTGCTTGTTTTTCAAAATAATCCTTAAGGAGACGGTTCAGCTGTGGCTCACACTGGCTGGCCTGCTGCAGTCCATCTTCCCTTCCTGAAATGACACAAATGGTGACACAACTGTCCTTCATTTTATAGGGGTCCCCGTGTTATCAGGTCAGTCACCTCCCTCAGTGATTTGTCACTGAGGGACCAACTCCTGCCCACGCCACCCCCAGAAGTCAGCTTTAATTCCAATGCCTGACATACGCCCATCTTCACTTCACCTTCGCAGTGCTGGATCACTCGTCCCCACAGTCCATTTTTCCTCAGACAGGCTAAATTTCCCACAATCAGCAGATGCCTCCGGCCTCGGGTCAATGCAACATTTACTCGCGTTTCTGAGTCAATGAACCCTACATGTCTTGTCCTGACGCAGGACAGAATAACGATCTCCTTTTCTGCGCCTTGGAAAGCATCCACTGTGGACACCTGCACAGTTTTCAGATCAGGGTGGCCAAAGTCCCCCACACTCAGGGAGTGACAGAGCTGTGGAGGAAGAGGACAGGAGTCACCCAGTGCAGGCGTTGGAGCCTGTGACCGCCCATGGCCACCACTGTCATTACCTGACAGAGGACCAATGTTACTGCTGTCTCATGACTCCACAGACTTGGGTAGGTAGCTCCTAAATGATAAATGGCCCAGTGACAATATCAATTATGAAATAACATCAAAGGTGGTAATTTAGAGATTGCTGGGGAACTCTTGGGTATGCTAATTTACAGCTGATAAGCTAACAATGAAGAAGAAAACTAGTACCAGAACAAAGAAAACTCTCCTTAGAAGTGACTGGTTTAGGGGTACATTAGTATCTGGTATCCTTCCTTGATTTACTGATAAAATGTAATAAAAATGAAAGAACATTTTGGAAAACAGAGATTCAATTCCATCTGTCTCCAAACACAAAGCATACACCATCTTTTCTTCCCTCTAATTTATTTATTTGCATTTTTGCTACAACAGCTGTAAACTGAATTTAATTAAGCCTTGTTAGGTTTACATTTAATTATGCAGAAAAAAAGCCAGACCCCCCCAAAAAAAGGTTTCTTTTTTAGTATGTAACATACAGTCCCAAAAGTGTTTCAAGAACCAAACTACTACAAATGTAATATCAAATATTATAATCTATAATTATGATAATTAACATGTGAAAATGTCTCATTCTGGGATGCAAACCTTGTACATCTGGGATTTGTACAATGTTATCACCCCAATCATAGAGCCCGAGATGCCACTTGCGATCAGTGATTGGATCAGCTTGAGTGTAAAGGAAGCTTCGGCCACATTATGAAAGCTGTTACCTCTTTCAATCTGGAACAAAAACAGATGCTAGATTATATTTCCCAGACCCCTGGAAGGACCAAACAAATTCATTCAAACAACAACACTAAAATTGAACAGGATGTTAAGCCACACTGGCACCCATAACACCAATGCCATTACCTGCTCTTGGCCCATGACATTATAGAAACACAGGGTGGGCAGCCAGTGCAGTAACGGGCCCCTCTCCACTTCCGACACACCGTCCCTCAGGCTTCCTCCATAGAACAGATCATTAGCAATAGCACTGATGGCGGGGTGACAGCGGTACTGGGTTCTCAGTGGGACTGGCTTGTGACCCTGAGACAGTTAAATGTAGAAATATAAGCTACTAGAACATAGCTGGGCTGGGGATATAACCCAGCAGTGCAGCACCTGCCTTGCAAGAGTGAGGTTCTGAGTTTGAGTCCTAATACCAAGAAAAAAATAATAATAATAATAATAAAACATAGCTTTGTTCTCTCAGAAAAGAAATATTTTAAAACTTTAATTATTACTATACTATGGACATGAATTGCAACCAAGACAAAAAACAGATAAAAAACAAAGCCATTTTTAAAGAAATTATTAAAAATACGTTCATTGTAAGCTACTACATTATAAAATTACAAAATACAACACACAGCAAATCTTGGATTGATTATCTAATAAGCTTGGCCCCTAACAGTATGCTTTTATAATCTACCTGGAATTGGCCTACTGCTAAATTTTAAAAGATCTTTTAAAAAATCAGAAAGTATTACTGCTAACTTATTAACTTTCCTCCCTGTGTAAAGCCATTTTTTTGTTCTGCATCTTCAGAGAAGTTTCCAATTTCATTCAAGCATCCTCACATCCAAGTCCCACCCACTTTGGCAATCTTCTGGAGTATGTTCTTTATTCAGGAAAGCTATTTATTTATTTATTTATTTATTTATTTATTTATTTATTTGACACACAGTCTTGCTACATAGTTCAGCCTCATTGTGATCCTCCTGTCTCAGCCTCCCCAGTGCTGGGATTACAGGTGTGTGCCACCAAGCCTGGTTTTGGGGACAGCATGGCATGCGATACTGGAGATCAAACTCAAGACCTGGCACTTGCCAGGCAGGCGCTTATGCCACTGAGCTATCTCCCCAGCCCTATTCAGGAAAGCTCTGTAATGCTGTTAGAATACTGAGAATAACTACAAGAAACTCTAAAAGTAATACATACATAATCCAATGCAGGATGAATGATCACAGGGATGAAGTATCTTGAATAGAGAAAACATGTAAGAAATCAACCTCACTATTCTTTGGGGCATCGACTTGTCTAATCAGAAGACATGGGAAGCCTATGACAAAAAGCATTAGGTACAAAAATACTCAGGAAAAAATAAAAATAAACCAAAATAAATACTCAGAGGATCATTATTTACAATGGAAAGGACTTTCAGTCTTAGAGAAAAGACTATTTTCTATCCGCACAACATATTTATGACAGAGATGATTATAAAACTTGTAATAAGAAAAAAAACTTGTAATAAGAAGAGCAAATGATTCAGTTGAATGGAAAGTTTTAAAATAGAAATTTATGAGGCTGGTGGATGGCTCAGTGGTCTAAAGCACCTACTTAGAACAAGCCTAGCAAAGCACAGGGACCGTGGTTCAATCCCCCAGCACCACATGCCAGCCAGCCCCGCCCCCTGGTGGGCTGAGCTGGCCACACACACACATATACACACATAAATAAATAAATAAAATTTAGAAATTTATGACACCATTTCAACCATATATAAATACATATACTTGATTCTGTCTATAGCTCTAGGATAAAACATGCAAGGAAAAATACTGGAATACTACAAAGGGTCTTCTTTTGGGTGGTAATATTATTACAGATGCATTATTTTTACCTTTTACTTTTCTTTTGATCCATGTTTTCTATAATGAATAGTGGGCATTACTCCTATTTGTTTTACTTTCTGTTTGTTTGTTTTTGTAGTACTGGGGATTGAACTCAGGACCCTGCGCTTGCCAGGCAGGCATTCATTCTACTGAGTTATCTCCCCAGTCCTGTTTTACTTTTAAGTAATTCTGAACTAATTCAAATAAAGTAAAGAAAATAATATGACCTCTAGGTACTGGCCAACCATAACTGATATTAATATTTGGTTTTCTCGTTTCAGATTTCTCTTTTGTTAAGAAACACATATGCTTTCTATCATCTTCTGTGTTTTTATACACTGATACATGTTTAAATAATATATATTTGGCTGGTGAGATGGCTCAGTGGTCTAAAGCACCTACTTAGAACAAGCTAAGCTAAACAAAGCACAGGGACCGCAGTTCAATCCCCAGCACCACATGCCAGCCAGCCCCGCCCCCTGGTGGGCTGAGCTGGCCACACACACACAAAATAAATAAATAAAAAATAAATAAAATTTAAATAAATAAATTATATATATTATCCTGTATGCTTCTGAAATTCATATAAGTGACCATTTTATTGCAAATATTCCCATTCTATGTTCTTTTAATAATGCACATTTTTTTTTGTTTTTGTTTTAATGTATTTGGTTGTTGCAGGGTCTCACTATGTAGCTCAGACTCATGGTAGTCCTCCTGCTTTCAGTCTCCCCAGCGCTGGGATTACAGGCATGTGCCACTACACCCTTACTCTGGCCAGCTCAGCCACCTCTAGGGGTGGGGCTGGCATAGCATGTGGTGCTGGGATCAAACCAAGGTCCCTGGCTTGCCTAGGCAGGCGCTTTAGTCTGCTAAACTATCTCACCAGCCCTCGCATGTATTTTCAAAAACTGTTTATACAAATAAAGTTCATTCATCTGAAATATTTTGTATTATTCTAGCCTTTATTTTCCCTTTTTAAATTTCTACAATTAAAATTATACTTCAATTTTTAAAATTCTACAGTTAAAAATACAATTAAGTCAAGTATAGTGGCACACACGCCCATAATCCCAGCACTTAAGAGGCTGAGGTAAAAAGATCTCAAGTTTGAGGTCAGCATGGGCTACAAGGTGAGTTCCAGGGCAGTCTGGATTACACAACCAGGTCGTGTCTAAAAATAATTAATCACACTTTAAAAGGTCTTGCCAACATTTTGGCCCTAGCCATCCAAGGTCAATTAAGACTCAGGAAATATAAGAACTTGTACTGTAACGTCATGTAACTCAGTAGTGTCCCAAATTTTCTGATCAAGGAGATTATGGGGCCAAAGAGGAAAGTGATCGATGATGTAGAGTGTGCCTAAGGAGAGTCACATGGAGAGAAAACATTCTCTCAGGCTTTCACAGAGAGCACATTGGCCAAGCAATGGCCGTGACTCATCCACATGGCTGACACTGACAAAGGTTCTACAATCTGAGGTACAGGATCTCAGGATAAATCCTGAGGGGATTTCACTGACCTTATCAGACCCAAAAGCTACAACTCTTGTTGCATAGGTCCTACTTTACCTTGGTCTTAACCATCCAGCAGAAAAGTATAAAAACAAAGTATAAGAAGTAAAGCCATGCTGTTATGTTGAGCTGTAGGGGACTCAGGTCAATAATTTCTGACATTGCCAGTCAAGTGGAAGACCCAATACTACTATGAACTACTGAACTCTTTTAGAATATTTTGCTGAGTTTACACACCTATAATATTTAAATGATGGAACTTAACAAAAAAAGGGGATACAGATGAATGTCTATTTGTATCTGTATATTCAAAGTGGTTAGGATAGATATATAGTTACATTCTCTTAATGAATAGAGGGATTTGTTCTAATGGTGTTTGTAAATAGGATATCAAGTCCGCATTTTGTACAGCAATTAACCACTAGGAAGAATGTATGCAATATGTTAATTACTGAAACTGTCCTACCAATTTGGCTTGAAACTGTCTCATTGCTATTTGTTTCTCAATAAAATTATGGAAAAAAATAAAAGGTCTCAAAAATAGTTAAGCGACAAAGGAAAGCCTAGAGCAGCAAGTATTGTACGTTGCCATTTGTTCAGACAAGGAGAAAACATGTTTGCTTACAGGGTCATAAAATACCACTTAAAATAGGACTGAGAAGATGCTTTTGGGGAGGAAAACAGCACTGAGCAGAAGTGACCCCTTCACAGTCTCCACACTGCTCAGTTCCTCTTGAATTCGGAACTATGACCATACTGCCACTCAGAAATGTTTCAGGGTTTGAATTTTTATTTTGGTTTTGCTTCGTTTTGCTTCGTTTTGTTTTTGCTGAACCAGGGATTGAACTCAGGCCCTTGCGCTTGCCAGGGAAGCACTTATTCTACTCAGCCATCTCCCCAGCCCCAGGATTTGAATTTTTAATCAAAGTTTTGAAAAGCCTCTGAAAGTCAAATTCAAGGGGCTGGATGCTGGCTCATCTCGGGGTGCTTAAGAAGTTTTTCAGTTCAATTCAGCTCCCCTGAAAAACTGAAGATGATGTAAAGATTGGTTCTCCACAAAGCTCATTACAGCTCAGCTCAGAACGCAGTGTAATCTAATGCCCAGTGAACTGGGAACTCTGAATTAGAAAATCAGAATACAGTTGCACTGTACACTCTTCTCCGTAGGATCTAAAGGAACAACAAAAATACTAAAAACATGGGCTGGGGAAATAGCTCAGCGGTCGAAGCGCCTGCCTGGCACACACAGGACCTGGGTTTGACCCCTGGTACCACATGCCATGGAGGCCCCAGAACCCCAGGCACACTATTATGCTGGCCACCAAAAGCAGGCATGGTGACACACACCTGAAATCCCAGAGCTAGGGCGCCTGAGACAGGAAGATCACTACGAGTCTCAGCTGAGTAACAAGACCCTGTACCAAATAAATAAATAAATAAATAAATAAATAATTTTTTTTTTATTTTTTTTTTTATTTTTTATTTATTTGAGAGAGAGAGAGAGAGTGTGGTGTGTGTGTGTGGCCAGCTCAGCCCACCAGGGGGCGGGGCTGGCTGGCATGTGGTGCTGGGGGATTGAACCGTGGTCCCTGATGCTTTGCCAAGCTTGTTCTAAGTAGGTGCCTTAGACCACTGAGCCATCTCTCCAGCCCCAATAAATAAATTTTTAAAAAATAAATAGCAAAGAAAAAAGTCCAGCCATTATGCAACAAAGAAAGATTTGTATGGCAAGAGCACAGCAGTCTAAAGTACCTTCTTAGGCAAGCTTAGGCAGGCACCGAAGACTGAGCTTCAATCCCTGGCACCACATGCCATGCCAACCCCACCCTTTTGGGCGGTCTGAGCTGGCCAAAAATAGAAAGGTTTGTAGCCAACCCAGCACCATGACTTTGGAAAGTGCCCATCCTTGGGAATTAAC